TCATTAGTCCGTATTGCTTCTGCGAGTGGTTCGATTGCCAAGTTAAATAAGAATGGAGATAATGGGCATCCCTGTCGACAGCCTCTGAATAGATTTAATTTTTCAGTGAGGGTACCATTTATACATATTTGAGCTTGCGGATTGCTATACATAGCTCTAATCCAGCCAATGCACTTTTCACCCAGATTGAATTTCTCCAGAACAGCAAACAGATATGACCACTCGACCCTATCAAACGCCTTTTCTGCGTCAAGCGATAGTAGTAGGGCTGTTCTGTTGTGTAGGGTCAAGTGGTCTATTATGTTTAGTAGCCTACGGATATTGTCGCATATCGTGCTCTCACAAAGCCGGACTGGTCTGGATTAATGATCCTAGGCATTAAGTCCTCTAATCTGCGTGCAATTAGTTTTGATATTATCTTTAAGTCAACTGGGAGCAGTGAAATTGGGCGAAATGAGGCACATTCAGCAGCACCTTTATCCTTTTTGTGTATTAATGTTATTATTGCTGTTTTCATTGACTCTGGAAGGAATCCATTTTCAAAGAAATCTGTAAGCATAGGCATAAAAATTGGATCAATTTGCGGCCAGAAAGTCTTATAGAACCCTACAGAGTATCCGTCCAAACCTGGGGTTTTTCCGGAGGGCATCGACTTGATCTCCTGTAGCACCTCATCTGGAGTGAATGGAGCACTTCGCTGTTCTTTTTCCATCTTCTGAGATAGAGGATAAGGATACCTTTTCCAAAAATGTATGGATATCTTTTCCTGAAGGGTTTTCTGATGCATAAAGCTGTGTATAAAAGTCGAGAAATGAGGATTTGATTGATTGTGGATCGTATTTCAGTTGCCCTGTCGCATTTCGTGTGCATTTTATTGTATTATCAGCGCGTTCTTTTCTCAGTTGATAAGCTAGAAGTCTGCTAGGCTTATTTCCATATTCAAATCCCTTTTTTCTAACCACCAAACCCGCTGTTGCTTTTTTGGATCCCTACCCTGCGAAACCATAACAAAGTTCTCTTTGAGCTTTAAACAAATCTCAGTCTATCTCAAGAAGGACATCCTGGTTTGCTGTGCATGCAGAACAGCATCTACAACACCCTGATGGTTTTATTTTACACAAAATCTGCTGAAATCATTTTCTTGTTTAAAGATAAGGCAGCCTGTACTGTTGCTATGTGTGTGAGTAATTTGCAGTCTTGTGTCTTTCGAGTTTTAGGTGTGGTGACATCTGACGTAAGGGCAATTACATCCACATGATATTTTGTGCTCCACCTCAACCAGCTCAGTCAGTAAAATGCTGCTTATACATGACTTTTGCTGAAGTTAAAGACCTGAATACTTGCTACAGAGACACTACCAGTTGTGAAAGATGTTTTTCAGAGATTTTCTTTATTTTCACATCAGTGTTTCGTCCTACTAGTCACAATCGATAAATAAAGTGTGATTTAAAAAAAAAATACAACGATAAAGCAAAACGACAACATGGAAGATTTACGAGCTCAACGTTTTCCTGAGACGTCTCATCAATCAACTTTCATGATGTGGACACCTGAATCGCCTGAACCCTGACATGGGAAGATCTGAGCTATGAAAAAAGGGAGTGTCACACCACAAGCAAGTGAATAGATGTGCTTGTTAACTTTGTGAGATCCAAACTGTTTATTTCAGACAGTGCCCTTGATCATGTAAAGACCCTGCTTTGGTGTACAAATGGATTTCAGGTGGAGCCAGAAGAAGCATCCGGCTGTTTTTCGTGGTTTTATGACAGCATGCTTCCCAACATGGAGGCCAGGACGGCGACGCTGATAGTGGCGGTGAGCGTCATCTTGGTGGACGGGGCGCCACTCAGCTGCAGAGGGTTGCACTTGTCCGTCGAGCAGCACTCAGTCACGGTCTGGTAGGTGACGCCGAGCAAGGTGCCGTTGACGGTGGTGTTGCAAGTCGCAGTGTTGTCCAGGCAGCCCTGAGTGTTGAAGCCGGAGAATGATGTCAGGGATGGGAAGCCTGAGGAAGAACATTAGACTTGTTAGACTTACAGAGGTGGTAAATATTATTTAGTCACATAGAGGTGCTTAGTTTAGTGGGGTTTTTTAAAAAAAATTAAATTAAATAAAAATTAAAATTAATTAAAAATTATTATCCCTTCCCTTTGTTACTTTTTTGTTGCTACCTGTCATTGTTAAATTAACCTGAAACCACAAAAGCTGTAAACACACAATTTACTGACAGTTAAAATGATGACTTTTTGGAGCTTCTTTACACTCCACATATGATACAGTCACCAGTAGCTACAATAAACAGAATTTTAGGCACAAAAACATGACTAAGAAAACACAGGGTTGTGCTTGTAGATCTACGTGTGGCTGGGTGTCACTGTACTAAGGAGTGATTTAACTGATTCATGCCTGTGCTGTTATGTAATGTCTGAAAGGGTGTGAGCTTTGAGGCAGATAGGAGGCAACTTACTTGCTTTTCCAGTAAAGCAAACGCTGCTGTTAGATGAGCAGGTCTCCTCACCAGAGTTCAAGCAGATCCCGATCAGACCAAAGCTGCAGGTGTTGCAGGTCAGGGAGTCCACTGAAATGAAAAAAAAGAGAGGCACAGCAGTTAAAATCAAGAAGCACTTCATATTGAAATGGCAGCATTTTGTTGGAGTCTGGAGGAAACCAAAGCCTATAATATGTTTTTTTTTTTTTTTTAATGTTTTAAATTGAGACACTTTATTTCTATAGATAACAACATCTGAAGTCTTTATCCTGTGCGACCAGTTCGGCCTTTTGTCAGATTGTTGTGGACATTGTGTTGGAATTTCTGGTCCACCCCACCAGCAAAACCTCGCCCAGGTTAAATAAATATTCAGACTCTGACCGAAACGTCAAAAGAATCAAATTATGAGGAATTTGCTGCTAAGATGTTTGCTTCAGAGAATTTCACTGGTTTCGTCCACAAAACAATAAATAACACTGTTAGTCGACTTAATCCGATCTGACCAGTCGCCTACAGTTTTTACTACATTCTGCTGAAAACAGCAGTTCAAATCATATATATTTGTTAAAACTGAACATTTTTGATTGAGTCACTTTTTCTCATAAGAAGTGTTGAACAGCAGAATTCACCTTTGCTGTTTTGGAATGTCAGGAGGTTGCAGTAGGTTAAAATTCGGGTGAACTGACCATTTAACTGAGTCTTTTTTTCAGAAAACCAAACATTTGATATTTAATGGATAACGATGCTTTTTCATTACAATAAAAAAATGATATAAATATTATCACAAAAAAGCTAATATCAACTGTAATATTGTTTTTCTTTGATCAACTTTGCGAAATATTAAAAAACAGTATCACATTTTTTCACGTCTGTTTTCCCGCCTTTTTCATAAACAGCTCAGAGCATATGTGTATGTTTTAGGTGTACAATATAAAAAATTAAAATTTGTTTTCTTTCTGTTATCAGTTAATCTACAAAAATACCAACATGTCAACCTTTTTTTTTTTTTTCATCCACACTTTGCCCATCATATCTTTCTTTTAAGATTCTTAATCAATAGGGAAATTTAATACTTGATTATTGGTTATTCTTACCCAGCATTAAGGATGCAACGGCTGCAATGATTCCAAACAGGATCCTGCCCATCTTGGTGTGTTGATTTGGTTTTTGGTATTGGCTCAGAGACAGAAATCCTTCTGCGGCTCCTGGATGCTGTGGTTAAAACTGATGAGCCTGTTTGGTGAGGACCAGGATTTATAAAGTGAGACAGGTGAAGGGAGGGGACAGGAGGGGTTTTTCAAGTCCTTTTGTTTCAAGTTTTTACCCAAAGGGGGGGTGGAAAAGTGACTGATGGAGGAGGAATGTCAAGAATGAAACAATGGGAACACGAGATAGAAGATCTTATTCAAAACCATGAGATGTGAAAACTAACTGTGCCTGTTCAAGTCTCCACTGGAGGAAAGGAGAGCTTTAACTCAACAAAAAACAACATATTCAGTCATACATTCTACACCTACTTTAGTAAAAACATTCAAATATTACCAGCAAAATAAAGGTGTTTATCACACACCAGAATGGTGTTAACTACTGTATTAATACTGCTGATGCATTAACTCAAAAATGGTACTTGAATATTGTAGCAGACTGAGGTAGAGCTGATCCTAAACATTTCATAGCTTGATTCACTATTTATTTTTTATAATTCGTTATATCCGTATAGGTTCTTTAGTCCGACTGCTGTAAACTACAGCTGTCAGATAATTGGAGTACAATAAAATGTACAATACTTCCCAGTGAAACATGGTGGATTTAAAGTAGAAAGTTGCATAAAAATGAAGATACTCAAGTTAAGTACAAGTACCTTGGAACTGTCATTAAGTAAAGTATTTGGAGAAACATACTTTTCATCACTGCGAGTCACAGAATTAGTCGTCAGTTATGGATTTTTGTGGGGGGTTTTCACGGTTGATCAGTTGTTTTTAGTGGAAAACCCCCAAAATATTCAGTTTTATTATCACATCTGACACAGAAAAGTTTCAAATTTTCACATATGAGAAGCTGCCACAGTATAATAATTTGTATTTTAGCTTAAAAATGACTGAAATTACTAGTTTCTGTTGAAAGAAAAAAAGGCTGACATAAGGTCAAAAGTCTACTTTATTGAACTTTTGCGGGATTTAGGAAATTGCAAAAAGCTGAAATGGCTGGTTTATATTTGAGAAATAGTTTTGTCATGACTGTGTAGCACCGCTGACTCAGAGAAAGATCTATTTAAGTGCCCATTTAGGAAAACATCAACTTTGTCATCCAGATTGATGATCTCATCAAGCAGCTTCCTTCCGATCAAAACGCTGTTCATGTGTCAAAACCTGAAATCAGGGTAGACGAGTGACTTCATTCTGAAACATACTGGACCACTATAAAACCTGAAGAACCGGCTGGTGTCGCAAAGGTGGCAGTGATCTATTAAGACAGAACAAACTAGATCACACCAGTAAAACCACACAGCAAGTTTGTTTTTTTCCCCCACAGTTTGAAATTTATTTTGTCATCCTTCAAATTTTCTGCACAACCAAATTTCACAAAAATATTCAGATAGGCTGTTTGTTTTTTGTTGTTGTTGTTTTTGTTTTAAATAATGACATAAGTGCCAGTTTAAACAGTGATTCGTCTATGTGTTCAAATAGAGAATATTTAAAGATCAGCACTGATATATTTCAAATCGCTGCAATCTCAGTTACAGTGCAATCTACTTAATCTGGTTAACCCCGTATATGATGTACAGATGCACACGTTCTATTCAAAAATAGCAAGATAAACAAAAGCTTTCAGCCCACAGCTTATGAGTAATACAGACAGTAGATTTAACATCAATATGAAAAAAAATGCAGAAATGATGTAGCTGGCTGTGAAATGGTGAAAAAACAAAAAGAAATGCTTTTACAGACACAACCTTGAGGAAAAATGTACATTACATTAGCTTCATCCAAACAAAGTGAACACATGTTGCATCGTGAAATGGATGGAAGCAGAAATGTTTGCAGAAAGCTTTAATAACTATACAGGTTTTTGAGTATTAGGACTCTAACATGATAGTGCAGTGGATCAAAGCAAATAAATTAAAAGAATAGTTTGACAATCTGGGGGTTAGCTTATGAAAACAAAAAGAAATATGTAGCCTGGCTCCATCTTAAAGCTCCAACATGAAGTTATGCATTTCTGAAAAACACAACTTATTGTCCTTACATTGAGATAGAACCAATAACATGTTACTGATGAGCTTTAAATGTGCTTTTTTCCCACCTTTCTGCAGAGCCAGGCTGACTGTATCCCCTTGTTTTCAATATGAATGTTAAGCTAACTGGCTGCAACTTTATCTGTAATGTACAAATTTGTGGATGGTAACAATCTTCCAATCTAACTGTTGGCGACATTGTCCAAATTGCCAAACTATTCCTTTTTGGTGTAACGACTTCAGCTAGCCTACAACATGAAAATACCAAACATGTGATTCAGCTACTGACGCCCAAAGAGCTGCGCTGACATCATCTGAATGCTAGTGTTAGACACTCATTGTTAATTCATCTGTCAGCATTACCTTTTACACTGAAATGAGGGCTGGTGTGTGTAAAAAAAAAAAATACAAAAACACAAGAGGGAACTAAGTTTTAACTGATACAAACACTTGTGTAAAACCAATGATACAATACACTTCAAAGACAGATTGAAGTTTTTGAAAAAAAAAAAAACCCAACAAAAAAAGCTGTGAGGTTACAAAACTGCACAGCTCGTGTCTGAGGAGAGTATTTAATGTAATCCTTGCAGCGCTTGTGTGTGTAAAATGTGTAGAGTGTGTGTTTTATGTGTGTTTATGCACTGTGGGTCATTCATCATCCGTTTCTAGTAAACCACAAAGTTGGCCATGAGCACAGCAGAGATGGCCGCGAAGGCCAGGCTCAGGCCGGGGGTCCCAGGCAGGCCAGGGGCGGCGTTGCACAGGTCGGTGTCGCAGCACGTCTTGGTCATGGCGTAGACGGTGGTGTTTCCGCTGGAGGGGAAGTTCACCTGTTCGGTCTTGTTGCATTCAGCCTCTTTTAGACAGCCCTTCATCTTGATATCCAAAAAGCCGGCTGTGGAGTGACACAACACACAAGTATTGAATTGAAATGGTTGGATGAAGGTGCAGTGTGAATGCAGATTTTGTGATTTCAAGGTTTTAACTAATAAAACAGCAAACACTTCAACAGGAAACAATGTTTTTCCAAGCTTTGACTCTGTAAACCAAAATCACCAGTAAATTAATCCAAGCCTGCTCTGTCATTTGATACTGCTGAAGGGTTAAAAATGGGTCCTTCACACTGTTGCAGACTGCTTGCAGACTGCTGAAGTTTATAGGGAATCCAAATGTTTTGGATTGTTGGGTGTTTCTGCCGTTGTTAAGCGCTATGAGATGACTTCTTGTTGTAAATATGCGCTATACAAATAAAATTGAATTGAATTGAAAAAGCAATGTCATGATTTTCATTAAATTTTTATTTATTAGTACTTTTGTCAATTAAATTTTTTATGAATAAATTTGAGGACCAGTGTATGTAGAGCCACCATTTCTGGTTTGCAACACCTGTGGGCACTTTTTTTTGTACGTGTTGATTCCAGTTTTTGTCTATTTTCTTAAATAATCAAGAAAGAAAGAAAGAAAGAAAGTGCTTGTGGTTCAGTGGGCTAAGGAGGATGGAGGTGCCATGACGTTGCATTAATATAGACATAAAGTTATCAATATATGTTGATCAGTATGGCTTATACAAATCAAGATTAAACTGTATAGAAAGAGAAATAATAATAATAAAAAAAAACCGATTTCCTTACGTTACTCTATGCTGACATTGTGGCTGGCCCCTTTTCACCCAGACATGTTTAATGCACAGTAACCTCCCAGTCTTAAAATCCGTCTTGTAAAGTGACTGTTGAGACACTATGAATGTCTTTATGTGCATAGTGATCCAAGCTGCCAGACTGAGCCTCAGCAGAATGATTTAACACTGACAAGTTGAAGGAGTCAAACAGCCTGGTTTATCTACTTTGAGAGTTTGGTTGTCATGATCGTCACTTCAATCACTTGAGTATTTCAGATCGGTAAGAGGATAATCTGTGATGTGTTACACATGAAGTGTCAAATATGTAGCACAAAAGTGAGTGTACAGAGCAGCAATTGATCGTTATGATGATACATTTTCATTTTTAATATATGTAGCCACATAACTGACACACAAACAGAACATATGATATATATGCTTGACCCCATTATTTTTTAACAAATTATGTAGCTAACTTTGCTTCCTAAAATATTTCAGCTTATTATCCATGGTTTTTTTTTAGCCATCTACTTTAATTGTTTCACCATTTCTCCATTTAGTTTTAGCTAATTGTTTTACTTAGCAAGTATTTCAAGTGGTTATACAAGATTTTTGCTGACTATTTAATTGGATTCATTACTTTCACCTGTTCCAAACATTCATTTTTAGTTACCTATTTTACCTTTAGCTTTTGCCATTTATTACTTTTCTGTTACAATTTCCTCTGTTTCATTGTTTCTTGCTAATCATTTTAAAGAATTGCCAAGAATTTTTAACCAGCTACTTATTACTTTTAGCTAACTATTCAACTGATTACCCAGGACTTTTCACTAATTCTGTTTCATGATTGAATCCGTTTTAAAACTTTTTGCTAACTGTTTGATCTTATTTTTACTCATTCCAACTATTTATCAGTATATTTATGTTAAACTATTTTACTTTATAGCTTCTGCAATTATTTGTTGCTTTTAGGTAATCATTTCTTCTGTTTTGGACTTCCTGCTAACCATTTCAAACAATTACCAAGAACTTTTACCTCGCTTCCAAATGCTTTCAGCTAACTATTTCAACTTTTTCTTTTTTTAGTTTTAACTATTCAGTCCGTCTACTTTTAGATGACTAATTTGTTTCACAACTTTTAGCCAACTATTTAATCTTGCTTTTAACTATTTCAACTTTTAATCCATATATTTTTGGTTAACAACTTTACTTAACTATGGCCATTATTACTTTTTGGTAACCCTCTCTTTGGTTTAATTATTTCTCGTTAACCATTGCAAACAACTACCAAGGACTTTTACAATAGCTACTTATTACTTTTAGCTAACTACTTCGGTTTCATTACTTTTAATTATTTCAACGTGTATCCGTTTATTTTTAGTTTACTATTTTACTTTAAGCTCTTGCAATTGCTATTTCAACTGATTACTTTAAACTGACAATTTTTTTTACTTGTTAATATGTTTTCGTGTGGTCAAATCTGACCATCCAACGCGAGAATACAACAAACAATGGTGTGTAAAATACTTGAAATTGGTGATAAACCTTAAAGCACCATGATACGCTGAATCTGAAACACTCAGGCTTTGAGCGGAAGCATTCATTGTCCAACACAGACATAAAAGTGGCGGCAACAAGTCTCTTTTTGCCCTCAAAGGACAGGCAAGACTTCATTCTGAAGTAAAAACCCAGTTTCAATTTTAGTCTCTTTGCCAGCAGCTGGATGTGAGGTGTGAAAGAGAGACAGTCATCGACTAAAATTCCAAGGTATTTATGCTGAGACACTATTTCGATCTGCACACCCTGAGAAGAGGTGATTGCAGGCAGGTTCAGCGGTTTTGACTTGGAATTTGAAAACAACATGAATTTGGTTTTGCTTGAATTTAAAACACGTTTTAGGTCAAAGAAATTTAACTGGACAATATTAAAAGCAGTTTGAAGCTGGGATATAGCCAGTTCTGGTGCAGATGCTGAGGTGTATATCACTGTGTCATCTTCATAAAAATGAAACTTGGCATTGGAAACATTGTCAGTAATATTATTTATGCATATGATAAAGAGGAGTGATCCTAGAACCGACCCCCGTGGAACGCCCTTGGTAATTTCTAGTGAGTCCGTTTGCTTGTACACACTGAGTTCAATGTGAGAGATAGTTGTCAAACCAGTTGACAGAATGCGGAGAAAGTCTGATTCTGAGAAGTCTTAGTTTGAGAAGTGTATGATCAACTGCATCAGAGGCTTTGGATAGGTCAATGAAAAGAGCTGCACAGTGATGCTTACTTCAAGAGAATCAATGAAGTCATTTATTACTTTTAAAGCTGCAGTCGTTGTACTGTGTGATTTCCTAAAACCAGATTGATAAACATAAAATACTGTTGCTGTTAAGAAATTCCTTGAGTTGATTACTGATGAATTGTTCCTGAACCTTGGCCAAGACAGACAGTTTGGAGATGGGAAGGTAGTTATTCAGTCCTGAGGGATCACCTTCTTTAAACAGGGGGAGAACATACACAGATTTCCATATACTGGGGATTTCATTGGTTATAAGAGACAGGATAAAAATGTGTGTTAAAGGTGAAGCAATAAAATCAACTGCTAAGTGTAGAAAGTAAGGCTCTAATTTATCAGGACCAGCTGATTTAGAGGTGTTCAAGAGCCTCAGGGCTTTATGCACCTCACAGACAGAGAAAGGAGTAAAACTAAAGGACTGGTCTGGTAAGGGATAACCATCAGACCAAGATGTAGCAGGACAATCGTGAGTTGTGTTAACAGAATCAAAGGAGCCTGAGGCTATGAAATGTTCATTAAAACAACTCAACATTTCTGCCTTATCAGAAATTTGGATAAAATCTTTCACAATGCATGGTGGCAACTCAGCAGCAGTAATTTGTTTTTAATCGATTGATTCAGCAGTCAAGTAACAGTTCCAGCCATGTCTCCCTCCTTCATCCTTACAGAGCAGTGGATTTAGAGAATGCAGTTTGAGGGATTTTATGTGACAGTTGACGACAAACTTCTTAAGGAGAATGTCGTCCGGTCGGATTTTTAGCTACAAAGACATTCTTACCTGCTTTCCCGACACCATTGAAGCAGTGTTCCCCGCTGCCACATGTGGTTTTAGAAGTTAAGCAGATGTCCCCTATGCCGATGTCGCATTTGTAGCACTGAAGAGCTTGACCTAAAATCAAGAGACAGTTGGAAATGTAGGGAGGAGGGAGATGCAGAGGAATGATGGCAAAGAGGAAAAAGAAGGGAAGAACAGTAGGATTAGTCAAAAGTGGTTTGCAGCAGGCTGTAATTTGGTGGTTTAAATGTGGGTTGAGAACACGTCTGAATTCTTAGTAAACATCCTCTCATGTTCGTCTGAAATGAAGGCTGAGCACTGAGACTGTTTCATTGTTTGTCATCCACTGAGGTGCTGCAGCCCAACATTTAGAAAAGTGTTTACATGACCGACAGTGAGATAACATACGAGACAAATGGGTGACCTTTGACATGCAGTACAGAGGAGGTTTAGGGCTTGATGGCACATTTTACTTTGCCTGAAACTCAGCTTATGGCACTTTATTTATTATTGTAACCCCACTACTCTACATACATGGCACCTTTTCAAGGCATAAAGCTACTTGTTGAAAGAGGGACTTGCTCCAAAGTCACTGCTTCGATGGTTTGTCCGATTTTTCCACCCATGACAGAATTTTTTTTCTTTGTTGATCTACAAACCATTAATCTACTAGTAAAAATGCCTCCCAGTCCCAACCTCATCATGAAAATGCTTCCTCCCATTGAGTTTTTTTTTTTTTTTTGTAGATTATAAGGAGCTTTTGCATGTACACAATGTAAAACCCTCTGGGACAAATATTAAGTTTTACCAAAAAAGACCTAAGCTAAAACACAAAGACACAGAAAAACAAACAGCACGGCAGACTACAGTTAATACTACCCTGTGTACAGGTTGTAAACACAAACCATAAGTTTGCACTACGGGAACTCTAAAGTGGGTTCATAGACATGGCGTATTGACAAAAGCTTGTCTAAAAGGTAGTCATCAACTCAAAACATTGAAACTACCTCAGTTCACATGACACAGGCAGGAACTGCACTGTGTACATATGACATACCATACCTGTGAGGCATATCGGGAATATTTTAAGCAAAGAATCAAAAAGATAAATAAAAGCAAAAAGATAAATAAAAACAATTAAAAGTTACAACAGTGCCGGAGCAGGTGCAACGGCAGCCGCACTCACCGGCGCCAACTAGAAGATGTTTGGTTTTGTAACTCTGCCATTTTAAACACAATCCACAACACATCAGGACAGTAAAGCCACTCTCTGCCCTTCCCAGCTGTCAGAATTCTGTTGTGAGAATTTGATTTCTTTTATTCAGGACTGGTTTTACAGACTTTACTATTAAAGCAGCCTTAAACACAAAACTCTGATTTCATTGTTGCCATGGCTCCACCAAGCCCAAAGTGGAGCCGCCATTGTGAGGTTGAAACTCTGTGGAAAGTGCAATTGTGTGCTGGGACACAAAGACTGCTGGTAGAAACCAGTCGCTCCAGTTTTAATGCCACCATCTCATGACTGACATCTACAAGTCATTTTTACCAAGTGTCTGGAAAGTCCCTCTTTATCTTTTAACTACATACTCAACACTAATAGGAGTCAGAATCAGTCTTATTGCCAAGTTGGTTATCACATACAAGGAATTTGATGTAGTGATTTGGCACACAACGCTGACGAGAACTTATTTATTTATTTATTTAAAGCAAGTGTTGCAAGGCAGTAGACAGCAATTATTACAAGATAAATAAACAAGATGCATTGCAAGTCAAATAAACAGTGTAGCAAGTCCAAATACTTTCATATAATAAGAAAACATAAAACTGTATTAATCTTGATGGAAATTCTTTTGCCAGATATTGCTGAGAAAACAAAATCACATACCATGAGTAAAGCAGCGGCTAGTAGACAAGCAATAAAATATATTACATTACTAAGAATAGAAATTAGAATAGGAAAGTAAGAAGTAATACTAGCAATGATTCTGACATCGTAATTAAAAATGAAATACTCAATCAAACAATAATTAAATAATGCACATGAAATTGGAATAACAAGAAAAAAGTAATGAAATGTAGTTATTTATTTGGTTTAAATTTTTAAAATGAGCAAATGAGGCCACTCAGATTTTGATTTATTTGACCTCACTGTGGAACAAAGCAGGGGTGTGTGAATGTGTCTTTAAGGTGTTCAACTGGGTGAGGTCCTGATGTTAAAAAGGAATCCATCCTCCAAAAATAAAATTAATTAATTAATTGTGTTACTTTCATGGCATTGTACAGTCACACCTAAATCAATGCCTTATTAACCTGGATTTCAATGTGAGGGTGTAACATAATAACTACAAAAACTCCCATTAAACTCCAGTGTTTGGCTCCTGCAGCACCTGAGAAGTTGTCACAATCCAGCCATCTAATCGAATGTTATTCAACCAAAAGGTATCATTTTGAAAACTTAGGACATTATAAACCCAAGCTGATATATTTAAGTTGCTCATCTGTCCAAAACCAATAATGATGATCCGGATAGTCAATTTGTTTGGATTTAAAAACTGACAAATGCAATTACAAATACAATTACTAAAGTAGAACAATGATGGAATAAATATTTAACACCAGTATTCGATGAAAACAAATACCTTTTTCTGAAGATTTATTGCTATATTATCAGGATGTTGACTGAGCTGACTCATTCCCATTTTTTCAAGCTGAGTCTGTTCAGTGTCAGGTGTTCAGAGCATCATGGTACCAAAGTGTCATCACGTCATTGTTGTACTTTTGTCACTTTCGCATATTTCCCTGTACTACTCAACACCTTGAATCCCTCCTCATTTAATACACAAAACTGGAGAACTTTCTAAAACTAAATTCACTATGTTTAAAATTAAAACACTAGATGACCCTGTGCAACAGCTTGACTTTGACAACAATACGCAGAGATAATACCAATTTGTTAGTTCAAAAGGTTAAAAAAAAAAAAAAAAAAAAAAGACACACCCATTTCTTTGTACACAATAGAAGAGCACCAAACCCTGTCCTGCTGGTTTCGGTTACACCTGGGACAAGTTGGGTAACAACTTTGGGACTTGTCAATTTTTACATCCACTCCTGCTGCTTCCTTTTTTTAAAAAATATATAATCTCATACATACTGGTAAAATATATCATGTTAAGCTAAAACTAAGATTTCTGTATCTGAGAAGTACAAAATGCCTTTAAAATGAGACAACGCCACCAGAAACAGGTCAAAAATTTACCCTCAAGTATCTGATTCATGACCCAGGAGAGTAAAATAGAAAACCATCAAAATGATGGAACGAACGCCTTCAGCTAAATTACAGAAAATTAAAGTGTCATGTGACTTTCTTGCCACACCTAGCGACACTTGAGCACTGTGCAATCCTCTCAGACATATTGTCACTACTGAACAGAATCCAGTCCAACCTGATCGTTCACACTGTTAAGCCATACACAAACACAACACCCACGCAAAACAAATCTGAGTTGCTCAAGACACCGAGAGTCGAAACAGGCCTGTGGGTGAAGCCCAGGGTGAACATTAAAGCTTTTGTTTACGTCAGCACAAGTGTCTCAACATACAGAACTGCTCGTCTTCACCTCCCTTCAGTGCAGCGTTTTCATACACAGGTGCATGTTTCCTGATAGAACAGCCTCGGGGCAAAAACACAAGAAAAGTAAACCCAATCAGTCACTTTTGACAAGGTGCAATAAGAACAAAGGAAAGGCATGCAAGAAGCAGCTCCTCTACGTGGTTGTAGGTTTAACAAGTTACGTAGGTCAGATCATCAGCGTAGTCTGTGCACTTTAAAACCATTTTTTCGTACTTGTTTGGGTTCAAATGCAGTGCAGCAAGAAAGGAAAATGGATCATAAAAAAATGCTTGCCAGTACTGGAAAGTGTTAGATCATCAGGTGCGACGAACACACCCAAGATCCCATTCTCAACTAGCCATGACTCAGATCCTTCTCTTAGACTCACCTATGTACAATCCTACAATAAACAATCACTTTAGGTGTAGCTCAACTGTATTTCAAGTTGGCCAATTTGTTTTTTTCAGCAAGGAGACCGATGTTTGGAACAATTACACATTTTCAGCAAAACTTATGATCTTGGCGTCAAAGTTTAGCAGTTTATTTATGTTTTATAAATGTAAAATTAAAAGAAAAGTTTTTTTAAACGTACCTTTTAGTGTTGATTGGCTGTTACTAACCAATCAGGTAGAGCAGTGGGCGGGATATTGAACACAAAGTGGTGACTACAGACAGACAGAGGCAGCAATATCAGGAATCCATTTTTTTGGGAGGGGGAAATTTTAGTAGCGTGTGAAATGTCGAATCTGATAATTGTCCGATAATCAGTCGACTCCTAGACTGTATTTTTTTTAAACTCGAACCAAAACTGACCAATTTTGAAACTTTACCCTTAGCTTTTCCAAGCAGTTGTGAACATTTATGTAGATAATTTATAGATTTACATTAATGGTTTTTTAAAAAAAAACACACTATAAGGCAGTTGTCGTTAATTAATTGATCTGTAAATCCTGCCGTAAGCTCGCAAGTGGTGGCCAGTGTGTAAACAACAAAAAAAAAGGACAGTATGAGAAGTTATAATTACTGATGACTGTACATCTGCTCATAACTACATTTTGACAAGGCTGCAACCAGCAATTATATTCATTGTCAGTTAATCCGTTGTTTATTTTTCTGGCCAATCCATTAGCGGTGAAAGTGACTCCTAAAGGCTGAGGTGACGTCCTCAAATATCTTGTTTTGTCCCTAAGATTTTCAGTTTACTGTCATAAAGGAGTAAAGAAACCAGAAAATACTCTACTTTAAGAAGGTACAATCAAAGAATAAAGACTTTTTCTCTTAAAAATGACTCGAATAGCTACAAGATATTCTAACAGTTGACAACTAATTGATTCATCATAGCAGCTCCATATTACAGTGCCCTATATTTAATTTATTACGTGTTTAAATACTACTACTAAAAAAAAAAAAAAAAAGATCTATCTAAAGTATAGTGTTTCCTTCCTACAGTAATAATTCTAAATCAAAGGTGCAATTACACTAGTTGAAGGTAAAAATTCTGCTCTTAATTCATTTGTAGTGATGTGTTGTACTTTTTTTTTTCTGCTGCTTTTATTAAAAACATGCTAGAAATGCATTCGAATTCATTAGCTGATGATGGATTGCATGTACAAAATAAATAAATAAAAAGGATGTGAAGTGGAAAGCTATCAAATCAACGTAGAATATTTCCTGCTCACAATTAGTGGCTCTGGATAAAGTGGCAGGAAATGGATGAGAAGTAGAAGTAGACCTCAGAACGGCACTAGGATCCATTAGTACGGCTTTTTTCACTACCAAATGGAACATTAATTGCAATTATTTAGAAAAGAAGGTTTGCATTTTCTGCATTTTCTGCCTTTTATTATTTAACTGAAGTTCAACATAAAACTGAAGATACTTGGCTTTAACTTTGAGAAAATCCTCCCTGAATATCAGTAGATGATATGTGTATACTTTCAACTCACTTTTTGGGTAAATAAGCACTTTATTTTGACTATGGATGGAAATATACCAGTATTTGTGACTCATTCACGAGGTTTTACAGCCTTACATAAGTACAGCTACTTATTTACAGGAGGCTCTCTAAAATGTGTTCAACATGTTAATTAATGATAGCAGGCAGTGTAACAGGGATTTTTAATGGAAACAGTTAGTTATTCTTTGAAGAAACAGTAAATCTACATGCCTCAACAGTTTCCTTGCCATTTATTTTGACAACAGGGAGCCTGTTTGAACTGTCAGGTGTGGCACATTACTTAATGAACTCCAGTCTTATACTGCCCTCCACTGCTGCTTCACTAAAACTACAGGCTTCAAAACCTCAATTTCCAAGCTGAAGAACACAAATCACAGACGGAAACACAAGACCGGGCAGGAAAAATAACAGCCGCACTTATTAAAATCATGTGAAATCTCATACCAAGTAAGTAGAGAACAGTAAAACTGATTACTGAGAAATAACAGCTCTGTTGTGGGAGATAATGCGTATCAGGCGTGGTGATCTTTCTGATCAGCTATTTCTGGGTAGGACTCATTACACAAGTCAGACCTGAAGGCGTCATTGTTGCAAGAGATATTAAAATAATTTGCTGAAACACGTGTTGTTCTGAGTGTCCTTATTTCACCATGAACAGCATCAGCGTGCTCGTGTGACGCACAGAAGAAAAGGAATTAAGAGAAATCGGATCCTCACAGCAGCTGAAAATCCACCGATAAACGCTTCAGTGGGTTTTTAATTTTTCTGACAGGCTCGGCTCCCACTGGGAATCAGCTGGAAAGAAAAACGATGAGTGACTTGGGCCAAAATGTGAGTCATGTGCTACAATATGGAAAAGCTGCACGGAAAGTTGAAAAGAGGCACCGACTAAAAAGGCGAACGTGCAAACAAGTTTATGAAAAACAACATGAGGTAACTCTGCAACACGGCATTCAAATTGAATGCACCTGGGCGGGGCTGGCGCATTCCTTTAAATACTCTGGTTTGTATTTGGATGTGGATTCTAGTTGGCAATGTGGACATCCTTCAATGGGAGTAGCCTGGCTAGATTAAATGGTGAATCAGTCCTCTAAATCCACTAAAGAGAAGAGCCTCCCTACGAATATAAGTGATGCTGAAGTACAAATACAGCATTGTCTTCATGGTAAAAAGAAAAGCTGCCTGCACAGCTTAGAGAATCTAAAAAAAAGTTGGATTTTTGTCATCTGCACGCCCATTGATTTAATTGTAAACTCTTGTTTTATCCAGTGAACCGATTATCATGAAAGTTCTCCCAAAAGTTTTAGTTCAACCATTTCTATAAATTTGATTGTCCAGTCTTCTGCTTTTTTATTAGAGATACTTGTATATAATTCCTGGGGTGGTAGAAAATACAGTTAGTGCACAAAATATTTATTCATTATTATGCATTCTTTATTTTATACTTCATTAATCTATGTAGTTCTGACACAGATGTTTAGCATTTCCTGTCAATGATCCACCCTTTTGATTTTGTTTATAAAAAAGAGGCTAAACCCAGAAAAGGTGAAATTAAACTATCTCAAACACTTAAATATGTGGTTTAAAGTAATCCAACTCCAGGGTATTAGGCAGGTAAGCTCTCACATCTGGATTAAAAAGCAGCCAGCAGCCACACAGAGGTGAGTATTTCTGTCTATTTTCCCAGCAGCTGGTGCTTGGGGAAACCTCTCAGTAGCCTGTAACATGTTGACTTCAAAAATGAACCAGACCGCCATCTGAAATCCTCCAATGTTCCCTGAGTACACAGATTGAAACTACCAAATTGATCCCTCTGGTCACTACTAAAACCTCAGTATGCAATTATCTACATTTGTGAATTGTTCTCCTCTTACAACAGCTACTTAAATCGACCACTAAAAGGGACTGAAGGTCAAAGTTATCACCTGAAAGCATTGAAAGCAGCTGGGATGGGAATATAGTTCCCACAAGGAAGGGTGTGGTTTGAAACAGGAGCCTGAAACAACAGGGCTAACGGGATCCCAAGGAAAAAAACTTGATGCAGACCCTACACTCAAGTGGAATTTGAGACTTGGGCAAATCCTTGACTGTTACAAGGTGAGGAATTTCTCATGCAATAGCTGGCAGGTTGGGACATGAGTCAGTCTTTTAATAGCGGCTGGAAAAAAAACTGAAAAACTCATAGCCGTACCACAAACTGCCTGCCTCACCCCAACCTGTAATAACCGCATTAGAGTAAAGCCTAGGATGTTCACAGAGCACAAACATGCTAAAACACTGCTCCCACTTTGTTTCATCAATCTGTAACTCAGCCTGTTGAATCACATGAGGTAAATCTGCTGGTTGGAGTGCTCTAAGATGATAAAAAACTATCTTAGGGCTGCAACTGTACAATTCATCTGTGGAGGATTTTCTAGATCAGGCCCCCTTAACATAATGTTGGAAACTAGTGAAAAATGCCATTAAGTTCCCACAGTCGAAGGCAGTGTCCTCATTGTTTTCCCCACCAACTGTAAAAAACTTTTTAAAATTTTACTTTGAGGCTACATTTATTCCAATAGGCCTAAGTTTTTATGGTAAAATGAAATCAATCAATCACTATTTTAATGTAAATAAATGATTTTGGACTTTCTAGCTTTTTTAGCTGACTATCTTTCTTGTTTTAGACCCCTAATATGTATTTTTATGTATATACTTTATATGTACTATATAATAACTAAATCAACTGGTAACCCATTATATTGACCAACCACTTCAATGATCTAATCATAACTTTCCGCTACTTAAACTCTTTATACTCTTGGCCACTTCTAGCTAACTATTTTAGCTAACTTTTTTGCTAAACTAACTATCCATTACCTTTAGCTAACTAAATAAACTATTTTTCCATTGCCTTTAGCTAACAAAATCAACTATTTATCTATTACCTTTAGCTAACTAATTAATAATTTATCCATTAGCTTTAGCTAACGACATCAACTATTTACCCAGTATCTTTAGCTAACTATTTCAACTGCTTATCAATAATCTTTGCTTCCTTTAACACATTCATTTGACTTTCTTTTTTAAAACTAAATTAACTGTATATTGATGCAGCAAAGTACAATAAATATTTAGCCACATTTCGATTTAACAAATTTAACATTTTCACTGGGCTACTTTTAGCTATGCCTATCTAGTTTTAGCTAACCAACTAACTCTGTAGCATTTAGCTTTAGCTAAAGATTTTCAAGTATTTAATCGTTACTTTAAGCCATTTTAACTGTACAGCAAAACATTTTTTTAGTTAAAAGCTAATTTGACTTAATTTTAAGTTAAATTAACTTTTTATCCACGTAACTGCTTCCGACTGTTTTACGAATTCGACCTTGTCGTTGAGCTATTTTTAGCTACATCTTCTGACTTAAGCTAACAATTTAAACAGTTTATCCATAGTTTTAGCTAACCAACTATTTATCAATTACCTTTATCTGAATATTCCTGCTTTATAATGGTTACTTTAAGCTTCTTTTTTTTTCTAGAGGTTTATCAAAACGTTTGACATTCGTGTTTAGCCACAGTTTAATCTGATTAATTTGACCTTTTTGTTGGGCTACTTTGAACTAAATCATCTATATTCTCAACATTTAGCTAACTACTTCAACTGTTTATCCATCACTTTAGCTTAGTATTTTAACTATTTACTTGGTGGCTCTTTTAGTTGACATTTTGGATAAGAAAGCCAAGCAGGTGATGATATGAGGCTTCACTGTTATTTTCAACAGTCAAATGAGCTGATCCAGTTTGATCAGATAAACTAAAACACAACTGCAAAAGACAAAACATGGCTTTATCTCAAATCATGCTCCGACCAGATTTTAGCATTACTATTTTACTTTGGTTTTATGTTACTGGTGCATGACTGTGCAAAGTGGCCCATTAGTCTTGTTTGGGAAGGAGCATGACTTGAACACACCCAGACTGACAACAGCCCTGCAGCCTCCCCAAGAAAACAACACATTTCACAAATCCTCCCACTGAAAGGCAAATAGTGAAGTTTTTCTTCCAAACAAACCGTGTTTCACTGAGGGGGAAAAAAACCCACTAGAAATGTATAGTGTAGAAATATCACAGTGAAAACATCCGACCATGAAAACAAGGACACGCCAAACTCCATGCAGAAAAAAAAAACGAACCGTGGATTTTGTTGAAGGAAATATTTATAATGAAAATACCACTTTAAAGTTCTCTCTGGAATAATAAGCGGCCCATTTTAGCAAGTTCTGCTTTAAAGAGAGGCGTTATTTCTTTCTTTACAAATAACATGCATTTCTGTGGAAATAAATCAGAATTTAATCTTACCGATTGCAAAGCAGATTCCGACTGCGATAAGCTGGAGGATAATTCTGTTCATCTTGGTAATAAGAAAAAAGACCAAAAAACCCCCAAAAAATCAGGCGACAGATTGCACTTAATGGAGAAGAAGCTGTGTGCTTTAGAGGACCGTTATAATCTCGATCAGACGACAAACTTTTCCGCCATGGCTGCATTTATAATCTTCCACCTCCCTCCGGACGTCACCGCCATCCAATGGGAGCAGCTCCTCCACCCAAACACACAGGTGGGAGATACTACCTGCAGCAGGGTGGGGGAGGCTGGGAAAGCTGTGCTTGTGTCGTGTGTGTGGCTTAGAGGTGGATTTATGGCGATGGCAACTCCTTATGGTTCCATTACAATATGTTTGCATGGATTTGTTCTCCGTTTTTATGCCATTTTGCTCACAGAAGTAATACACGTGTAAAGCTGAAACATGACTTATATTGACCACAGTGTGCTTTATGACATTTTATCTCTGCTAGGAAACTTAAAAAAAAAAAAAAAAAAGCATGTATAAAAGTTTTTTTTTAACAAAAAATGTGGTTAAGATTTCTGCATCTTATGTCATAACATTCATGTTTCATTGTTGTTTTCTTTCCCTTAAAATTACGTTGCATCAATGCAAATTGCTCATTTGAGAGGAAAAAAATGATTTAGGTGCTTCTAAGTTAAATCAGTGGCAATAATGTTACTTGTTCATTTAATTTGGGCCTAATTCAATTGTGTGTCACCAACTGAGACATTTCTTTTATGTTGGTTAAACAATTCTCTCTTTTCAGCATGGGCTGATAAAACTTTAGGTTACATTTAAACCATAAGAAACCATTATTTAAATATATATATATATTAAAAAGTATTCTAACAAAGCCGAAAAGCTCTGAAAATCTTCCCTCTCTGGTGAGAATCTGAGGAGTTGCTAGATAAAAAAAGAAATAGGCTGAAAAAATATACAACTGTTTGTAAATGTAGTTTACTTTTTCTGTAATATCTTTTATATTATTTTATTTTGTTCTTGTCAAATTTTCATACTCTTTGGACTTTTAAAATGCCTGCAGATGAAAACACGATGAAACAAACCATTCGTAGGAACATCCATATTACAGAATCACAGGAAACTCCAAAACCATCCATTAGCTGATAGTCTCACACAGAACGGCTGAAATCTCTAGTCAGCTCTTTTTAAGTGATTCGGACTGAGAATTCAGCACAGAAAACATCAGTATGAACATCAGTGATGAAGGACACAGATAATACTGATTATCCTTCGAAGCGAGGTCATTTTAACGGCTAAACAGATAATGAAAACACAAGTCATGTTAAGAACGGAGATGGAATCAGGTGCTATGACACTACAGACTTTTGCTTTATTTTTTTGTTTTCTTGCTGAGAAAAACAAAGGTAGGTCATCTCCAGTAGGTCATATCATACAGTTTAAACGTATATTGCTCTTTTTGCATGAAAAGACTGTAATTACTGAGTCTGTTACTCAGCACACATCAACTTTTAGCTCATTTTTGTGGCTTCTGCAACAAGAAATGTGGAGTATCCTGGACGTCAACACCCTCAGGTCATGAGTTGCTAATCATGGCAGGAAAGCAGACTTGCTTTCTTCCTTTTTTTGTGAATTACTTGATAATTTAACTCCCTGAATGGTTAAAATACAACAATGTGGGAGGAAAATTTGAGCTGGCCAGCTACTGCAGATGCCCTTTTGATCCAAAGCACCCACAGATCAACTCCCACCTAAAGCACACATACCACGTAAGAAAAGAACCGCTACAGAACATACCACAATTGATTGTCGAGGGCTACATATTGCTTACTTTTCTCTGGAAGCAGTAAAAGGAAGTAATACTTGATTTTTTAACTGGCTTCATTTCAATAAACCACCTGAAGCCAAACTAACAGACGCAACTCCAGTACAGAACAATATGATCTGTGTGAAGACAGTCACGCTTGTTCAGGCTTGCTGATGCCTTCAGGGACTTTTTCTACATTTCGAAGACTGTAATCCACATTGATTAAAAAAATAAATATCTGATGCAGCTACAGAGCCTTACTGTGATGTGAACCTGGTTTGTTTACCAGTGTGTGGGATTCTCTGCGGCTCCATTTGCAAGTAAAATAACAACACAAACAAAGCACACCTTATAATAGATATGCAGTGAAACGCAGTGTAGCGTCACCAAAGCTGAATCAACAAAAAGAAGACTAATGTGGGCTCGAATAAGTCAAAACAGTGAAAATCTAGTGGCAAGATGCCCGAAAATAATTGCTTTACAGAATTTCAAAAGCTACAAAAAAAAAAAAAAAAATATGTGAAACAATAATTAAAAAAAAAAAAAAAAAAAACAGATTTAATACAGTAAACTTAATGGCCAAACATTGTGAAAAAACTAATTATTATGAGTAAAAATTAAACATTTTGATGTGGACATTTTCTATAATTTTGGGGTGTTTTTATATAGTGAACATGTAGATTAATTGTTTTTTCTGTGAATTTACAACTGTCAAATTTTATTTTTTTCAATTTTTGCTGCACTTTTTTTTTTTTTTTTGCCAAATACCATCAGATATCTGTAAAGTATTTATACTTTTTGCTGATTTAAATACAGTAAAAACTAGTGTAATTTTATGCTCAAACATTGTGAAAGGATGAATTGTAAATTACACTTTTTGTGCAATTTTTTTTTTTGTTTCATTTTACTAGTTATTATCTCTAATTTAGCCAAAGGGGGGAAAATCTGTAAAATAAAAATGTTTAAAAATGTAAAAATTGTTTAAAAAAAAAAATTTAAATAAAATAAAAATGCATCAGTAATGACTTTTGCAGTGCAATAACATACCTACTTCTTTAAACTTAGGTGAAATTCTACACACCATACATATGTGAAAGGCGCACATAGTGTAAATAGTCTTTATTATCTCAGGTATTTTTGCCTTTTGTCTATCTTTGTGGGTTTTTGTTTTTTTTTTTTGCTTTGGTTCTTATCATGTTAGCAGCTGTAATGCATACATTTCCCAGGTGAGGAATCAGTAAAGGTCAACTTTATCTTTATCTTTAAAATGTGTGGAAGTCTCCTCATCATGCGAGACATTTGAGTTAAAAACAATGGAGATTTTTCACTGCTTTTTGCTGCAAAAAGGCCAAAATCAGGGAGCTCTGTATTAATGTATCTGTAGTTGTATCTATTTTATGCCCAAATTTGCTTCGTTTCTTTTTTTTTAAAAAGCTGTCCCTCCTAATTCACTTTGAAACCAAGAAAAAATTTAAGAGGAATCTCAAATGTAAAACATGTCAAATAAGATTCGATCAAATGTGGTTCTGGATCAAAATACTACTAGTGATGTGTTTTCCCTGCTTTACAACCTAAAAAAATGACACAGATTTATTACTAAATGCTGTGTGGCTTCTATGTTAGAGTGTGTTTAAAGTGCTTTACGAGTAAATTGTTGAAAAAAAACAAAAAAAACCCTGCTCTTTTGTGCTTTTAAGACAAACTGAGGAAGGGAGGTTTCTGCTGGTCCTTCTTTCCATTCTGAGATTGAAACAAGGCACAGCGATGTAACAACTTCATTCGAGTTGAATCTAAGGAAACACCTTGGTTAAATTATTCACATAAGCAGGCCTCGTCTTGCCCTCAAACATTTCTGTGTCTGTTTGTCTCTGAGTGTTTGCGATAAAAGCATTTAGTGAATGACTGATGAGTTGTGGGTGAAGCAAGACTTTCACAGTTTGTTTGTCCACATCAGTCAGTCTGTCTGAGTGTTTTGGGGGGGGTGATTGTTCCTGTGTGAGCAGCTTAATGATTATCTCGGCATCTGACTTCAGAGGGGAGTGTGGTTTGGTTTCCTGCTGGAGAGGGGGGGGTTGACGGTTATGAAATGGCATCTTCAGAGTCATGGTTTTCAAATGCTTTGCTGAGAGGGAGGCTGTTTGCGCCCGGTGAAATGCCTCTATTGTTTTGCCCACAGATCCTCTGCGTTTCTCAACTCGTGTCACTTGGAAAGAGGGCGTGTGGCAGAAACTGACTCTGATCCCATCAGTTACAGAAAATACAAGTCAGGAGGAAAATCCAAACTGTGGGAAAGCAGAGCAACTAAAGCAGGGGATGTTTGAATAATAAAACATGTAGTGGAAACACATTTCTATACAGGTTGTTTAAAATGATAAACTAGACATCTGTGTAAGTATTCAGCCTCTTTATGGGGACACATTTGATTCATCGTAAGTGCATCCAGCTGCATGGAGAAGTCAGATAATTGAATAAAGCAAAATCAGCAGCATGTAGTCACGCGGCTTCGTTTGATTGTTGTATAAACTCGACTGTGTCTGGACGTTCTGGGTGAGTCAGTGCTGAGGGAAAACAATGAGGACAGAGGAAATCTCAAGACACAAAAGGTGGCTGAGCGGCACAAGTGAGGGGGGTGAATGCAACAACGTCTCCAGGTTACCTGGAGTGTAATTGAATGAGAAAGGAAATCGCTGTAAACGATTAAAAAAGATTAATTTTCATCGTCATCAACAGTTAGACGGACGCTTCAGCAGATTTGTTTTAAAACATGTTTTTATTTTAATCCAGTAAGAGTCTGCAAACATGCAGGAGTGAGATTGGACTTTGAATTAACTGTGTCGCTAACATGCCCACAATGACAATACCAGTCGCCTCAACACCCAAACAACTGAGGGGGAGGGTCGCCCTCGTGGAGTGTAGCTCTGCTGGAGGTCTCCTTTTGTTCAACGGAAGTCCTTCATCTCCACTGTCACCAAGTGATTTCTCACAGGGAGTCATTGGGTTTCTCTCTATAATATTCCAAGGTCTAGCTCTTAACATTTAAATTAGTCACCTAAATTCACTGTGTCAAATTTGTATCTCAAATGAAGGGCAGTTTGAGTCACCTTATATTGTTTTTTTTTACCAAAGTTAAAACCACCTGACTACTATTGCGTAGATTCCCTTAATGCAACCAGAACAGTTCGGACCTGTAGGACCAGAGACACAGAACCTGTGGTGGTGTCCGATGGTGTCTGGTACGTTGTCAGTGAATTCTCTGGAACCTGTGGACTGTACAAGGTGCCTCTATGGATGAGACCTGTTCAAGCATATCCCACAGATGCATGATGAGGTTGAGATCTTGGAGGATTTGGAGGCCAAGTCAACTCCTTGTAGTCTTTGTCATGCAGTTTTTGTGGTGCGGTAGGACACACTGTCCTGTTGGGGGAGGCCGCTGCCATAGGGAGGGGTTTGCTTGGTCCGCAACATGGTTTAAGTAGGCGGTATGTGTACAGCTGAAATTGACGCAAAGATTTGCAGTTTTGCATGTATTTGGTTTTAAAGGAGGATTGCCATTGTTTGGAATGAATGAGCAAAATTTTGTGCCAATAAATCTAGCAGATGTTGAAATAGTCACAAGGTAAGTGTGGAGTTTGTTCTGTTGGTGGAGCTACAGTAACAGTTCACCAAATCACCCAACTGTAACCAAATATCATCGCAATCCATCAGCTGTCAGGATATTTCCCTAAAAGCACAAAATGTTAACGTGATGCTAAGTGAGATTATTGTTATGCTTTACACATTCAAAAGTATACAAGTGAGTGACCCAAACTTAGTCATTAGTGGGTGTATAATTAATAATTAATAATAACTGATCAGATTTAGAGCAAGGTAGCACTGTTGCCTCGCAGCAAGAAGGTCGCCGGTTTGCGTCCCGGTTAGGGCGCCTGGGATCTC